GGGCTGTGGCAGGGGGTGCAGGCTCTGGCATGGGGCTGGGGATGAGGGGTTCGGAATGCAGTCAGCACAGGAGCGCAGCGGGGAGAGAGCGCTCCCCTCAGCCTTCTCCCCGGCCACAGCAGCTCCAGGGCCGGGGGGAGAGGCGCCTCTCCCCGCTGCGCTCCTGTGCTGCCCTCGATAGCCTGCTGTGCAGTCGCACAGCTTAGAGGGAATTTAGGTCTGACTACCTGTATAACGGAGTCCATAGGACTTCCGTGAATCAAGTTCTGTTTGAACTAGAACATATTTTGGGTCCAAGCTGTGGATTTCACAGCTAGATACCGATTTGATCTTGAGTCTGTACCAATTTCCAAGATTGTTCAGGTCAAGGGTTATGAGTCAAACCCATGACAGATATGGGCCTCAGTTGTGAGGTTTGGTTCTGAATCCCAATAGAATATAATCTTTCCCAAATTGGAAGGGTTAGATGTGTACTGCATCCAGCCCATCTCTAATTAGGAGACTACCGCTTAAGTCAATGTAACTTATGTCACTCAGGGGTGTGAAAACAACACCCCTCTTAGTGATGTAAGTTACATCTACTTAAAGCCGGGTGTCCACACCACACTATGTTGGCAGGAGATTCTCTCCCACCAACATAACTTCTGCCTCTCGCAGAGGTGGAGTAATTATGCTGACAGGAGAGCACGCTCCCATTGGCCCAACACGTCCTCACCAGACGCACTCTCGCTGCGCCAATGTAGCGTGATAGTGTAGACTTGCCCCAAACCTGAACCCGTACATGCAAGCCATCCCCAGAGGGGCTTCTCCGGAGTTGTTTACAATTCCGGGCATAATCAACTCTACTGCTTGTCATTCTTGTAGGAGCTGTAGTAACCCTCCCCCAGGGCGCAGAACACAATCACACTGAAACGATTCATAAATGTCACACAGTGGTCCCCACAGACAGTGCATGGCATTGCACTGTCCCTGTATTATTATTATTATTACTATAGATTATTAATTCTTACAGTAACACATAGGAGTCCCAGACATCGACCAGACCCCACAGCCCAAGGCATTGTACAAAACACCGAACCAAAAGATGATTCCTGCTCTATGAGCATCTAAGGATAAGACAAGAGACAACAGCTGGAGAGAGACAGAGAGATGAGGGAGCACAAGGAAAAATTAAATAAGTCAGGAAGAGAAGCAGCTGCCTGTTAGCTGCCTGCCTGGCTCACACTGCAGCTGCACCCAGTCTGTGACTTCACCCCTTCCCCCAATCTATGGGCCCGGCTACACTTCAAGCTGAGGGTGTAATTCCTGGCTCTAGGAGACATACCCATGGTAGCTCTGATTGCATTAATGCACTAAAAATACCATGTAGCCGCAGCGGTGCAAGCGGCAGGAGGGACTAGCCGCCCAAGTACATACCCATCCAAGACCCTAGCCATGTACTCAGGCGGCGAGCGCCTCCTTTCTGCTCATTCTGCCACAGCTACACCCTAGTTTCAGCAGGCTAGCTTCATCAGAGCAGGTACGTCTCCTCAAGCCAGAAATTACACCCACATCTCGAAGTGAAGGTGTACCCGAAACACGGTACCAGGCCCAACACTGACACTTACGAGGCCCCTCCCACCCAACTCAACACACTGTTCTCAATCCCTCCGGAGTTGGTTCTTTAGCCAGTTTGCAGAGCATGTGGCCGCACACCTCGCTGACCCAGTCTCAATTCACATTGCCAGTAGGATTTCATGAGGAGAGGTATCAAATACTTTGTTAAAACCCAGGTATATTATAGCTACTGCCTTCCCTTCATGCCGTCATTCTGTAGTTCAGTCACAATCTAGTTTATATGTAGGGCCCTACCAATTTCACGGCATGAAAAACATGTCACGGACTGTGAGATCTGATCTCCGCGGCTGCTGGGAGCCCAGGGCTCCTAGGTGCTAGTCTGGACATGCTGGGGAGGGACAGGAGTTGTTTTTCCCCTGCATGGCTGCTCTTGGTGAGGAAATCAGACCCACCTCCAGAGGCAGCACAGAAATGAGGGTGGAACACCCTCACTTGTGCGCTGCAGCAGGGCTCTGGGCTTCCGTTCCCTCCCTCGCCCCATGGCTCCTGCCGCAGCTCCCAGCACCAAGGTCGGGGCTCCTGCCAGGCTGGGGGTTTTTGCTCCCGGCGGCTGCAGCTGGGACAGCCCAGGTTATGGCCTTCTGCCCCCCTGCCACACACCTTGTGACTCCTGCCATGGCTCCGGGCACCGAGCTCAGGGCTTCCTTCCCCGGAGGCTCCTGGGACTGGAGGCTTCCACTCCTGCCAGCTGCAGCCGGAGCAGCCTGGGCTCAGGGCCTCCCCCCACTCCAGCCAGAGCGTGGGGCAGGCCAGGCTGGGGGGCTTCCACCCCCCAACAAAGGCAGCCCAGGCTCTGAGCTTCTGCTCCCTGTCATGCTGGCTGGGGGAGCCGGGGCTTAGGACACCCCCCACCGCTCTAGCTGGGTCAGCCCGGGATCGGGACTTCTGACCTCCCCCCACCCCACAGCTTCTGCCGCTGCTCCGGGCTTCCTCCACCAGCGTCTCCGGCCGGGGCAGCCCAGGCTCGGGGCTTACACACACACACACTCCCCAGCCAGGGCTTGGGGCAGTCTGGGGTGAGGTTTCCACCCTGGGGCTTCTTCTAGGGCTGGGGCACCCATTTTTCCGGGGGCCTGCCCAGATTGGCTGGGGACCCCTGCCTTAATCTGTCACTGGCCTGGACTAGCAGCTAGGAGCCCCCGGCTGGGGCGCTCCTAGCAGTATGCGGGAGATCCTACCCCCCTCCAGCTCCGGGAACCTCCTCTAACTGCAGGAAGCTCAGAGGCTGCTGCCGAGGCAGTGCAGAAGTGAGGGTGGCAATCTTGGGACTCCCCCACCCACCAAACAACTTTGCAAACCCCCCCCCCCATCCCATTTTGGGTCGGGACCCCCATGGTTACAACACCGTGAAATTTCAGATGTAAACATCTGAACCTGTGAAATTGACCAATTAAAAAACCCTCTGGCCGTGAATTTGGTGGGGCCCTATATATATGTTAACCCTGTGATGCTACTTACTGCTCCGTCAGCCCCTCCCAACTCACAGGCTTTTCTTTTATATCTGTGTTCGTTCCATTACTGATTAGGGACTCAAGGCAGCTATTAAACTAATTGCCGTGATTGTTCTTTTCCCCAGTCCTCTGCCTACCTGGGAAATCTTGTGGACAGATCTCCTGATCTAACACCGATGAGTTCTAGTGACGAAGAAATCTCCTGCTTAGAACATGTTGAGGAACCTCCTGGAGTCGGCTCTAAAGGCTCGAAGGGGCAGTTCTTCGTTAACAGTAAGGCA